ACACTAGGTCCCCTAACCTCTTGGACAAGCTTTTACACGTTTTTCTCCCCGAAGGGTTGGAGAAATTCGGCCTCTTCAGGCGAGAAAAAAAAAAGAGAGAGATTCTTCTTCGAGAGAAAATTCGGTTAGCACCGTAAGGTCTTAGAAGAAGATGATCAAGAGGTTTTGGGAAATCAAATAAATCGCTCCACCAAGATTTATTAGAGATCGTGTAAAGGTCATACAATAGAAGATTCGAAGGTTGTTATTCGTATCCCGTCGAATAAATATATTTCCAGCTCACGATCAGGTACTTGATCCATTGTTCGCGTTAAATTGACGCAATACGATGGGTAGCGTGATGGCTTGCGACGCGGTCTTTCCGTGCGGAGGTCGCAGGTTCGATCCCTTCTCCTTGCGAAAATAGGAGTATTTTTTGTTGCAGGAGAATAGAAGAAATGCGCGGGCAGTGCGGCCCGCGTCCAGGCCCGCGCCTCTCACAGATCCCAGCCCGCGAAGCCCACATCCAGCACGGTGCCAGCCCGCGTGCTCCAGCCCATCTCCGTGGCCCATATGCGCATCTCCTCGGCCCAATCCAGCCCACGTGCATTACCCAGTTGCCTTACGGCCCAGTTGTTCACCTTGTGCGGCCCAGTTCGCGACGCAATAAGCCCAGCAGCGTGAAAAGCGGCCCAGTGCGTCTTAACTCGTCCCAAAAGCAGTCCAGCGGGCCTAGGAAGCTGCCAACTCGGTTCAGCGTGTTCCAGACCGGTCCAGGCGGTCCAGCAGCACACCAAACCGGTCCACCTTTGTCCAGAAGTCCTGGTTCAAGTCCAAGATGGTTCCCGAGCAGCCCGACTTACTCACCGAAGGTCCAAGACGATCCGATGAGCTTGATGAGCGATTAGAGCACCATGGTGACTCGATTAGAATCGAGAAAGGCCAAGTCTAGCCGCCCATTAGACTTTGGTGTTCAGACGATCTCCATCAACGGAAATCAGAAACGTCTCAGAGTCGGCAAAAAATTTTAAACCGTAAGTCCTAATCCTAACTATAGATTCTGCTGCGTTAGGATTTATCATTCAATAGATTTCAATGTGCACATTGTCGACGTTCCTAATAGAACCCAACAACTGGTATCAGAGCCCAGGTTAATTCGACTTTGTGCATTATTCGAGTTAGGGCTTGCGTGATAT